GCTGTAAGCAAGTCGAACGCACCCAATGACCAGACTGGGGAAACAAACTGAAACGCGGACTTAATACAGAGGACTAATGACAACAACCAGAAACAGCTGATCACATGGGGATCCCACACGAGCTTAACGAGGGGGCGTGACACACAGAAGGAGCGGACGATCGGGGCAGGACAGGAGTAATGTTGGGATAAGATCTTTATCATTTTGGAAGTTCTTAAGAAAAAATGCTCTTCTTGTTTAATCCTGTTCATTTTGTGTTTAAATGCTTAAAAAAAAAACATATTTAGGTGTAATTTTGGGGGGCCGGGAACCAATTAATTGGTTTTCCATTATTTGTTATGGGAAAAATTCGATCAGAACTCGAACTTTTTAGGATTCAATCCGGAGTCCGGAACGGATTAAGTTCGAGAACCGAGGTACCACTGTATTTGTATATTTATTACATGGATGTAAGGTAATGGAACGACTGAATTTTACTGACTCTTTCAAAATACAGTACAGCGATTTTCAGATTACAGTACTGTACAATTAAATTATTGAACTGTATAATTTGCTATGAAATGTGCTATAATACAGTACTGTATGTAAAATGTAGCTTATTCTGGTTCTCATTGGCTTGTTTTTTGCAGTTCATCATAAGCTTTGAAGAGTCTACATGTCATTGAGAGAAACTGACTTTCTTTTTCTTGTCATGTTTTTTGTGCATGCAGCAGGTAGCTAACCAGTCAAGTAAAGTTAAAATAAATTACTGTAGTTTAGTTTTTCTATGTTGTCATGTATTAAAATAAATTAAGTGTAAGTGAACTACTTGATTAGTATAAACAAATTATTTGTATAGGAATGATTCTGTCCCAAGCTTTTTGATCCATATAAGCGGATGATCACATTAACCATGATCATTATAAGCAGCTTCCACTGTAGTTAATTTTTCTTTTAATTTGTTGGATAAGTTCATTGTCATGAACTGAACTAGGTGTAGAAATAAGCATAACCCAGATGATTGGTAAACTTTCTTTTTACAGTGTTCTAATTGCAGGTAAATATATAGTAAATTCTTGTTGATTAATTACCACAGGTAATAAGTAGGTAAATACAGAGAAACTACAACTGAAATACTAAGAAAAATCTCCACTATTATCCTTTAACTCAGCTAAGTACTGTATAGTTGTAAAAACTGTAAAAGGAAGGGTTACCATTGATTTTCAGTAGTCTGATTCATTTTAACATTTTAACAAGAAGGGCTACTGTGGCAGAAATTGCAGATAATTTTAATGATTACCACAGGAGTAATGAATGAGTCACGACACACAGTGCGTAGAGGCCTGCTGTGTATTGGGCTGTCTAGCTGTGGACTTTTCAGTCCAATGCTTCCCAAAGATGCTTGACACCTATCCAGCTGTCCACATGATGCAACAGAAAATGGGATGTATCAGACCAAGCAGCCTTCTTGCATTACTCCATAGTCCACTTTCAATGCTCGTGTGCTCATTGTAGGTGGTTTAGATGGTGGACAGGGGTCAGCATGGGCCAATGAGATGCTTGCAGCCCCTTACTGGGTGAGAGCAAACCAGAGCATGTGAGCGGAGTGGAGCGGTGAGAATTTCCACTCCTCGCTCACGAGGCTGTTGGCTCCGCCCGCTCCTCCGCTCTAATTTGCACTAAGCTGCTCTGCTGAACACCGCTCCTCGCTCCACTAAAATTTCCTCCCGCTCCAGTGAAATCGCTCCACGCTCGCTCCAATTTAAAAGAGGGACAAATAATCTGCATGCCTAAGAAATATCACCTTAAACCGAAGCCTTATATCATAAAGAAATATGAGCAACGGCAACATTGCCACTCAGAAAATATTTATTTTTAAGCAACCTATATAGGCAACAACGGACACGTTTGGCAATGGCATTCCACACAAAAATAGGCTTAAAAATGATTTGGGCACGCCTCAGAATCGTAGTGTGAGCGGTATCGGAGCAAAATTGGAGCGAGACAGAGCGACCGCTCCAGCCTTAATTAAAAAAACGCTCCGCGCTCTGACTAAATTCCGACCGCTCCGCTCCTCGCTCACGCTCCGCTCACATTATCTGGAGCAAACCCAACATGTGTTTGAGATGTTTTGACCCTGTCATCTGCCATTAATGATCTGGCCCTTGTCACGGTTACTCAGATCTTTATCCCTGCCTATTTCTATTGCATTTAATGTGTCAATTTCAAGTATTGAATGTTATCTAATCTAATATAAAACACCTTGAGTCACACCATTTTTACAAGATAGTCAGCATTATTTGTGGTGATGGTTATGATGTTATAATGTTTTGGCTCATCTGTGTATATCTGTATGTTCCAACATTTTAATTAGCTAATTAGAAAATCAGGAATGCAGTCATGGCCAAAAATTTTGAGAATGACACAAGTATTGGTTTTCACAAAGTTTGCTGCTTTGGTGTTTGTAGATCTTTTTGTCAGCTATTTCTATGGTATACTGAAATATAATTATTAATAATTGATACTTTATTGATCCCAGTGGGGAAATTGTCTTTATGCCTTATTTTGTAGAGTAAGTCATCTGTGAAGGGCAGCCACTCATAGTGGTGTTACGCCCCACTGTTGTTTGCTCCGCCTCCCCGTCTGGACCCCGCCCAAGTTTCCCCGCAAGCCGGCCGTCACTTCCGTCCGGCGGAAGTGAAAAGCCGGACAGCAAGACCCTTTGAGAGCTCTGCTCATATTTTGGATTGTGTTTTGGTTTACTATTT